TATTTTGAATGGATAATTATTGATTACAAGTCTTTTGCAATGTATGTAAGGCAAAGAAAAACTGCCGAAAAAAAACGTCTGAAAATCACGAAAGGAAGCACTTTTTTTTCCTTGGCCGTTAGATCATTACATCGGATTGTATTTTCTTTTCAAAATAGAAGAATCATATAGGATTTACTTTTTTCAACACTACAAAAATATAGAGATAAGACTTTATGTAAAAATTTAGTCAAGATGCGCGAAAAACAAATTGATCACGAGAATTTATCGCTTTTTTTAGAATCTATATATTTCCTACTTTCCTGTTCATTGCTCAACGTACAAGTACAATTGATCTTGAAACCAGGCTGTGGCTTTGTCGGTAATCGCACAGCCGACATCTTTCGAGTTTATATTTGAATCGTTCATTGTGTCCGATTCTTCTTTGATGATATCAGCTGTGAGCCATCGCAGAAACGTTTCGACATTTTCCATTTCAATGGTTAACTGTTGTTCATATAAATAGTCAACTGCTTGTTGCATGCGATTTTCCGTACAGGCATACTCGACAAACTCAAAAAGACTGGTAAATTTTTCCGTCTCGACCGATGCAAGCTGGCTAACTTTTCTCACCGAATGCTCTTTTCCTTTGACTTTGAATGTCAGAAGACCTCGCGACTGCGTCCATTCCGTCCACACCACGCCCTCGCCAGCGCCGTTTCTATTAAAATGTGCACCGACTGGACATTCTTGTTCGACTGCTTCGGTGATTTCAGTAAGTTTATTTTGAGAAAGTTTGGGCTGATTGAAATCGATCGGAATTTCGTACGTGGGGAAATCATGAATATTGAAGATTGACTGTTCAGGCCATCGAAGATTCGACCACTCTTTTGGATCGAGCCAGAGCGGGGCCTTTGAATTTCCGACTCTGATCTTAAAGATAACAAACATTCTCGCGAGACCCTGAATGGCCACATTTTTCTGAATATTTCCTCCGCACCATTCGCCGTAGATAACAATGTTGTTTCCGCACTCGAAATGTTTGCGAAAGACTGGACAATCAGGAAGAACTTTTTCCATAAGGAACCTTTTCGCTAATGAGTACATAAAGCGAGCAAACCCAGCATTGTCCATCTCGGGTGTAATAATGTTATTCCGAGATTGACAATAATGTTCAAAGTCTTTCTGATAAACGATCGCTGCATTAGTGCCGTGTAATTTGACTGTGCCGATGAACTTCAATACCGGAAATGATTTACCATGTTCAATTTTATATCGAGACGGATTCCTGGTGATCTTTTCAATCACTGAACGAAATTGTTCCGTTTCTGGATAGGCAATCATCATGGATGGCAGTTATTTCTACTGATGCAGTGCGAAACGCTCTCTCCTTTATACTCTAATCATTTACGTGTAGACATTTTCTTTCACAAGAACGCAAGTGGATTGTGCAATAGCACGGTCACATTGCGAAATCTCTTAACTGAAATAATGACGTTTATGAACGACAAAAGGACGGCACCTGCTCTTATGCTGTTTCGCTCTATTTTTATTTGTTTTCCTTTTCACAACAAATGTGACAAAATTGCCAAGAGTGCTTTGGCAATACCAGGACGAAGAATATCTAATAAATACAACATTTAGAACAGCTGATTGTATAGAATGTGTCTGTTCATTAGAATATTTTGTATGTTGCACGTAAGTTGAGAGACGCTTGAGATAGTAGGTGGTTTTCCTCATACATAGAGTTAAATAAATATGATAGATGGGTAAAAAAGATCAAGAATGACTTCAAGAGTTTCATCTAAGAGGAACAAACCAATATCGATATTGATAATAGTCAAAATAATTCTGAAGTATGTGTCTCACCATATTTTTGCAAATGTATATGAGACTGTTTCGCCCTTCGTAAACTGTGTAGAATATGGAAATTAATCATAGTAGTAGTTCAATGGAGTTGTCCAATATTAGTGATGGTCAGATTACCGTTTCAAGTTCTGCGCAAATTCCTGTTCGAAGAGTAACCAAATCTTACAGATATTTTTGCATTGTAGTTTTTATCTTATTTAGCTTAGTTTATTTCGACAAAAACTAATGAGTCATACATAGTACAGATTGTAAACATAGCTAGTACAGAATATTTCGAAGAGAAATTCTGCTGTGCACTCAGTGAGTGCTGGTGGCAAAGAAAAGAAAAAAGAGAAACATAAGTAAATTAAAAGAAAACCAACGACTTAGGTATGCCTCGCATTGTGATGATTAGACTTCATGACAATACACGATCGAGACAAACGATTTTTTGTTTCGGGTTATTGATAGGTCAACTAAGAAAAATTTTCGGGTCATTCGGGTCCAGTTTTGAAAATTTCGGGTCGGATCGGGTTAATTTAAAAAATATTGATTCGGATCGGGTCGGGTTCGGGTAAAAAATTTTTGGGTCGCGTCGGGTTCAGGTCATCCACGTAAGACCCGATTCGGTCTCTGCTGGTTACCAAATATTTTATTCAGGTATCAAAAAAATTGGTCAGCGAACAGGTTTACTGATGACGTGTTTTGGTGTCTTTATTTCTTTTCACAATGTCTGTGTTATCAGAATTGACGTTCTCGGAACGCTCATCCTTTGTTTGGAGAACATGAAACCATTTATGAAGCACGCCAACGTATAGAGAATTTTCACCTTGTTCGTTGAGTATGTGATCGCTCACCTTGTTCGTTGAGTATATCATCGCTCCACTTACAGCAAAACAGTCGAAATAAATGATTCCAGTTTTCGCCTTTTTATCGGTTAACGAGTCCAATTCTGGTTTCGTTAGGAACCCTAAGCCTGTAATAGCTGAAAAAACCATAGCCATAGACGGCGATAAATATATCAAAAGTATTAATGTACTAAAGAACAAGAAAGCTGCACTTTGTGTACATGCTTTTGTCATAAGATCTTGAAATTTACTATCTTCTTCAGCGATTTTGTCAATGATCGGATCAGCCATTAGCAGAAACAATAACATCCCAACTTTTTTCTGTTTTTCTTTGGCTTTGTTACTGATCGTAGTCACTCTTTCCGCGCATTTTTGAGTGTCGTAGAATATATAGCGAAACGCTATATAATTGGATGCAACCCATATTCCGATTGCAAATATTATGAAGAGTAGACTTGGGAATAAATATATGAGTAGCAGAAATATAAGAATAACAAAAATAATGCCAATTTTGTCTGTGTCTGTTGCCATGTGTCCTACAAAAATAGATGAAACCGATGCAAAAGATTCAAATAATACAGCTACATCAACTCTCGTCGCACAAAATATATACCCATTCAGATACGTTTCCTTTGTTGAACGCGTCAAAAACCTAGCATATTACGAAAATAGCAATTTTTTTCTCAAGGACTGATCTAGAGACTTGACATTTTCCGGCTGGGTTCCTAGATGAATACGATATCGGACAGAACACAATTTCAGTTCTTCGGTAAATTATCCCCAAGCTCTATTTTTTTAGGATAAGAATTTTGTGCATAGACTGTTTGGATGTTTAGACCATGTAAAACTGCGTGCCGTCGAGAAATCTTTTGTTTTGGACTGTACCATATCATCAAGGATAAAAATTATCCTGATTATATCTCAGTAGTAGAAGTGCTTACTACCATAGGTGGGTGCGGGTGGATGTAGATCTCCTCAACCTCACCCACCTACCTTATCCAAATCAAAATTATTATATGCCGTTTGATTATACCGATTGTGTTCGCATACGATATCAGTTCTCATCACACTGTGTGCTTTTCCAATGTATTATTTTATTTAAAGGAATGAATAATTCCTATTCTCTGAATTTACGATTCGACAGGCTTGTCATATAGAGTTTCTTGCCGAAGTTATCTTTAAAAAGAATATTCCTCATCATATTTCCCCATTTCTTATTCCTATCAACTAACTAAAAGAATCGATAAACCACTACTGACAAACAAGTCTAAAATCATTTAAAGGACTTATCCGATCGAAATAAAACAGTATAGCATTGTAGAGAGAAGCTCGCAATCTGTAGAGCGGTGTATAAAGCAACGAATTATTAATGAAAGTTGAGTTAACTAGGAAACTGTCTCCTGCTGTCCATTTCAGTCTATTCAACCTTAAGGAGCTAGAGATTCCGGGTATTGGGAGATTTTTGAGTCCTACTGTAGTTTCAGTTCGATAACTTTTCTAGATTCCGATCGTATCTGAAAGAAGACCAACTATTTATGAAATAGTTCGAAATATGAAAATAACCATCGAATATCTTACCCGGGCAATTTTTGGATGAATAAAATTCGCTTCGTCTATGTTTCCATGATAGACAGATCTAAAATACGTTCTATGATCAATAATATGACTATAGTTCAAATGAGACCGTAGAAGAGAAGAAAAAAAGTCGACAAAGATGTATTGGGTCGGGTTTTTTTCTTCCTACCAGATTACTATCTCCCTCCTTTTCTCTCTCTCTATCATCTGACGCATCGTTTCCCGTTAGTTACGGTTTTATGCAGAGTAAACAATTCATACAAATATCACTGAAGCGAGAGTCATCTAACTGGATTATCAGCATGGGTTTGTTGGAAAACAATTCAATATCTAACTATAATTCATAGTTCTTCAATATGAGAAAGAAAAAAAATGCTACAACAAACAGAAAATGATATGTTGGACTCCGTTTAATTTCGTCAATAGTATGCAAGTACATGTTTTTCTCTCATATTAATCATACAACGATCAAGATAAGACTGATGGGTTTGTGTGTTCGATGACGTGTCTTATTCAAACTATGAAACACAAAGTGACTCATAGGTCAAATGATAGGTATGCAGTGTACTTATAAATATACGTCTAATAAGGAAGAAAGAAAGAGCGGGCGAAAAAAGAAGTATTAATAATGCGATGTCTCTGTCGGTGATATGAGTATGCGTCAAGCTAGACGGCGACGATAGAAGGGAAAAATCAAGCTAAAAAGACAATAAAAAAACAGACGGATACGAGGAAGTAATTACGTATTCTCGTGGTGACGTATGCTATTGGCTGCAAATAGAAATAGTATTATTAGGATAGCCGTCATTAAATGAAATCCATCAATATAGGTTTATGAGTCATATCGATTTCATCATCCTTTTGTATACACGAACAAAAGAAATATCGAATTCTAGGGTGGGTGTGGGTTTGTGTATGTAAAAGAAAGGAAAAAAGCCCATGTAGTCATTTTGACTGTTCTATAAAATAAAAAGTTGCAAATGTACACTGATATATAGTTAAAGGGACAGATTGATACAGACACATTCATTTTGTAGCACGATCAGATTAAAAAACATGTACACAGAATACACCGCACGCGATATACATACAATAAGAACGTGAACGACTAGAAAGAAGAAATAAAAGGTAAAAGTATAACAAATAAAAGCAAAATCAGGAATAAAATGTCTATGTTGGTCATATGAGTATGAATCAAGCTAGACGGCGACGATAGAAGGGAAAAACCAAGCTAAAAACACAATAACAAAATTCGAGCATTGATGTGTTAAAACCAACTGTACTGTCCTGCATTGCGAATAAATAACTTGTGCAAAATACGCTAAATGTATAGAAATTTCATAACACTGATTATTATTTGGTAAGTAGAAGTCAACATGATAATAGTCATCGTATTTTTATCGCCCTCGAGTTTTGCTCCAGTTACTCTCCGTTCGAGAGTGTCCAATCGAATGATTGTGTCTTTTAGGATTTACAAATTAGTTTTTAGTTAGAAACATTATTAATATTCTACGTATTTGTTTTAAAGCTCCTCAACTGAAAACTTGCATCGCTATATTATAGCACAGATCGAGCTACTCATTCCAACCTTCATTTCATTTTCTAAACTTGCCAACTTTCTTTCTTCTTGCAGACAACAATCTGGATGTTTGAGTCTTTTACATATAACCTAACACTTTCATATTTACTGCCGTTTACACAGAACATTGTGCCACGGCCGTGCATTTTACCATTTTCAAAACCACCAACGTATTTATCACCATTTGTCCAAATGAATGTTCCTCGGCCAGTTCTCTTATCATCTTTCCATTCACCCTCATATTTATTGCCCTTGACACAGAACATTGTGCCATGGCCGTGCTTTTTACCATTTTTGAAATCACCAATGTATTTATGACCATTTGTCCAAATGAATGTTCCTCGGCCAGTTTTCTCATTCTTTTTCCATTTACCACGTATTTATTGCCGTTTACACAGAACATTGTGCCATGGCCGTGCATTTTACCATTTTCAAAAGCACCAACATACTTTCACCACTTGCCCAAATGAGTGTTCCTCGGCCAGTTTTCTCATCATTTTTTTATTCACCCACGTATTTGTTGCCGTTTACACAGAACATTGTGCCATGGGCGTGCATTTTACCATTTTCAAAACCAACAACGTATTTATCACCATTTGTCCCACTGAATGTTCCTCGGCCAGTTCTCTTATCATCTTTCCAATCACCCACGTATTTTTCGCCATTTGTCCAAATGAGTGTTCCTCGACGAATTTTCTCATCATTTTTCCATTCGCCCTTTTATTTATTACCATTCGTCTAAATAAATGTTCCTCGGCCAGTTCTCTTATCATCTTTCCGTTCACGTTCATATTTCCTGCCGTTTACACAGAACATAGTGCCATAGCCTGCATTTTACCATTTTCAAAATCAGCAACGTATTTATCACCATTTGTCCAAATGAATGTTCCTCGGTGAGTTCTTGTATCCTCTTTCCATTCACCCTCATATTTATTGCCGTTTACACAGAACATTGTGCCGTGGCCGTGCATTTTACCAGCACTATGGGTTGGACTATGCTGCATGCGGCGCATGTAGTAGTGGTTATTGGTGAAATGTAATCTGGAGTATCTGATTTCAGAGACAGTTGTTTTGTTAAGTGGTGATTTGACGAACGTATGTTCTTGTTGCTGAGAATAAAATTGTTCTTCTTTGATTTGGATAGTTTCGATATGACAGATTTCTTGTTTTCTATATTACGGTAAGGTGTTGAAGCATTTCTACAAGTTGAGAACAGAGGATAGTTGCGGTCGTCAGGTTTGCGAACGACTATGAGCTACTGGAAAGTGTTGTGCTAAGCAAGACTATCTGCTGATGTATGAAGCATGGGGACGTCTGGTTACTGCATCTCTTCGTGTGATACCTTGTAGAACAAGTGGCCTTCTTTCGAGACGATGAAGCTTTTCCGCTACGTGAAAGACGAAGGTGATCTTTTACTTCTCTGTATACTTTCTGCTTTTCTAATCAGCAAGTGCAAGACATATATATATCAACTGTATATCTGACTGAAAGCCCGAACTGTCTGTCTCTAATTAGGGTGAGACCAACATAGTTTAGCACACGAGTTGAGTATGTGTCAAACTGAAGATCTTTCATTAATCTTAAATATACTCTCATATGGTCGTAAACAATGGCACAGTCAGCATAACAAATATGTGAGGGTGGTATTTTTAGACTTTTCGCATGCATTTGATTCAGTTTGGCATGAAGAACTGCTCTTTAAACTAAGGCACAAAGGTGTGTCAGAACACGTTTACAGGGGTTAAAAAGTTATTTACATCTGAGGAAAAGCAGGACAGTAGTCAACGACTGCGTCTTAGACGGGGAGACCAGCAACTGTGAAGTTTCTCATGGTAGCACTTGCTTCTCTGTTGTTTCTCATATTCATTGATGACCTTCGACACAGCTTAGAGTGATTATTAAAATTATTTGCTGATGACGCTACATTGTTCGATACTCACTCATCATATGCACATTCAGCCAACAGATTAAACAATGACGTAATCAAAAGAGTAAATTGGTGTGATACATGGCAAATTGGTATAAACATGACATTTGCAAGGAACCCTGCATGTTTAAAACAATGTAATCTTACGCTGTTCATACGGAATCAAATTTTGCTAGAAGCGATGCTGCACAAACACTTAGATCTATCACTAACAACTAGCCTATTGTGGGACACAGTGAGCGAAGTGCTTGGTACAATAAACCATACCCGTAATTACATGAAATTAATAAAATGGAATGTTAACAGAGCAGCATTTGAGATTGCATATAAAAGCTTCCTTCTTACAGTAATAAGTTATGGTAGTGAACTGTACTCATTAACAACAGAAAAAGCTTAGCTGAATTATAATCAGTTCAGTATCAAATTGCTATAATGGTGACAGGCGCTATGAGCGGCAGTGATGCTAACAAAATACTTAAAGATCTTGGATGGCTTTCGATCAGAAACTTATTCAAAGTAAATCGCATTAGCGTGTTTTTTAAGAAAAGTTTTCATGTTTATATCGTGCAGTAATAGACTATATGTGTACAACAAAAACATTTATAGAAGAAGAATAACGTGTTCTTTTGTTTTCTGAACAATTTATGTGATGTTCATTTAGCCCTTTTTAAAGAAAGTCCTCAGGTCAGCTTTATCTATGCTCTAAGAAGAAAACACCAATAAAAAAATCCTTTTAGAAACAGTTCAAGCCTCATTCAGTGAGCGTATTATGAGTAGTACCAAAATATACGATATATAAATGTATTATATATACTTAGGTTAACTTGTTCACTTTCACCAGAAAAGATCAATGTCTCAGCACTAAACTTCAACGAGGATATGCTTATGACTTTGAATATTCATTCACACTGTAATCATCCTTAACGAACTAATGTAAGTGAGTCATTCTCAATACACTGTACAGTATAATTGAGAATGACTCACTTACGTTAAGAATTTCGCGCAATATACGTAGTTGCTTCGTCAACGTAGTGAACGCCAAAAACGCCGGAATAATTTTAATACAATTTTCCGTAAAAACAAATGCTTTTTGATTGCACCAAAGACCTTGAATTGTGTTTAGTTCACAGTGATATTTAGGGCACATTTCAGCAAGATCACCAATGTCGGTTAGCAAAAGTTTGTCGTTAAAATTCAATTCTTCATCATCAATATCCATTCGATATTCGTTATCAGATGAATCGCTTGAATCCGAAATCTTTACATTTGGCCAACGACGAGCTGATGCACCGCGCGATTGACTTTTCCTTTTATTTTCTCTAGGTTTACCGAACTAACTTAGTGTAGCTGCAAATGATATTATCTTAAAGAAAGACGTATGTTATAAGTGCTTCTGCTTATAGCATGGTTTTTCGAGGAAAGGTTTTCTGGGGACTTCCGAAGAGTCCCTGAAGATCTCAGAAGTATGTTCATTCGATTTGTCAGCAGTTTTTACCTATATGGACAAATTTTCACTCAGTTTGGATGAAAAAGATGCATTTTATTTAAAAATGACCTTTCCCTTTATCCTATGATATCAGTAAACACGATTTTTCTCCAAAGAAAAGGAAAGAGAAAAAAAGCGACGCGTAACTTTTTGACTGGTGGTATGATGAGTCGAATGAGATAAAATATTTGCCTCCATCGCTTGTGTAGAAAAACTAGATAGGTTTACAAAATCCACCCATACCTAGTGGGCTCGACGAGATTCGAAGCGCCACCACCAATAGAGTTTTGGGTCTGGTATCAATTGAACAGCTTTTTTATATTCAGTTTTTGATGCTGAATCTGAAAAATTATTTTCAGAAGCTGGAAAAAAGAGCGAAGTAGAAAATTTTGCATATTTCGAAAAAGATGTGTTTTTCTGGAAAAACGACACCTTTCGAGTATTTTGTATTTTTCGATTGGAAGAAAGTATTTGCTAAGGCTAAAAAGTAGTTTTTCGTGATCAGCAGCTCAAGCTCTATCAAATGATGTAAAAAAACTCGAAAAAGAAATTTTTACTGAAAGTTTGAATTGCCTGCACCTTACTACAAATGAAGATTGTTTTGTTGGTCGTTATTGAACGACTTTTTGGATTGGTCGTTGAAGCGATGATTGTTTTCCGTACTTTTTGAAATTTTGTACTTGTGATTGTTACACTTTATGTCCCATTACGCGTTGATTTTACTGATGATTATTATCGCTTGGTACAAATTTTGTTAGTCCATGTAGGGCTGTGATTACTTATTTTAGTGTTACATATTCATATGAATGAGGTAGTGTTGTTCGAACAAGTTGTTGACACTGATGTTCTGTGTCATGGTTATTCCATATCCCACTGTCTGCAGGCCACATAATGTCTTCCTCGTCAAATATTGGCACTGGGTCGAAACAATGATTGCTTACTGTTGCTGGCGTTATGACAGGTGTTATGGATTGGGAATTTGTTTTTGAGTATTCGTCCTCACTAGAATTATATCAACTATCAAACGGATCCTCGTATAAGTCGCGTAAACTGCATTACCAGGCGATTCTGATCCATCTACCGATCGTTGCTTATTTAAATGTCCCAACTGTGCTATTGAGTTCTTGTTCTTCATAATTGGTGATGAATGACTTTCCATTGATTTGATACGCTTCAAACATGCTAATTTATCATGATCCATATCATCATCTTGTAATCCTTGAAATGGCATGCATGAAACACATCCTCAAATGCAATATAATCACTTAACTGATTGTAATCAACTTTAACTAAACATTCTCGCTGTTGTTGATCTAGTTCAAATATTGTTGCTTGTAAAAAATCAATGCCAGGAACCCTTACGCATTTTTGATCATAAATCATCACTACGAATATACATTAAAGCATCGAATTCAAGTGAACGATTCCCAATACCGACATATCTTATCCGATTACATATTGATCGTAATTGTTGAAACGAGGAGTCTTTTGAATTTCTCAATACATCCGACACTAACCTCGGTGATATGCGTAACCTTAGAATGTTTGATGTCATTAATAATAGCCGTCTGAAATGTTCAAATTCTAATTGATCGAAAAGAAAGGTCACTGAGACGATGTTTTCCATCATTAATTCATTATTCAGTAAATTATCACTTAAACAACGAACAGGAGCG